CTTGGTGCTCACCATTCCACCACAATCTCTATACTCGTTTTGTTTCTTGGGTAGTGCACCAAAAGATGTTGCTCCTTGCAATGACACACTAGCAAAGTGGAGAATAACTGCTGCCTAGCCTCATCACTAGCTTTATTAGTGACCTCTACTAGAATCTCTGCTAACAAGGTTGCCTATAAGTTAGACAACTCACATAGATTTATTGATCTTGAGTAATCCTTGCTATGATGTGCTCCTCAAACACCTGTAATTGCTATTGCACCACCAACTTCCGCTCCATGAGCTCCAAAACTATTGGACGAGGCATCCTTTTAAAAACCTTTTCTTTTATTCCACTCCTTTCATTTTTACACACATCCTATGCTTAGAAAATAGCTATCCTCCCTCTCATCAACCTCTAGCACCAAGGGATGCACCCCATTCTAGCCAAATATTTCTTTAATTCCCCCACTATAACCAAAAGAAGAAGGAAAAACTCTTGACATTGACTAAGTCTTATTCTTGAGTTAGCTCTAGCCCTTGATAGTCACACTTCCTTACAAAAAGTAAAATCCTCAAAAAAAATCCAATCTATACCAAAGATTAAGTAAAAAATTTGACTTAACACCACTTGCATGATTGAAGTTCAAGCTCGAGATCTCTAAAATGCATAACTAGGTATACCTCATCCCATAAACATATATGTATATAACTATTGCTATAAAGAATGAAGACTAGCTCTATTGTACAACACAATTGTAAATGATAACATGTGGCAATAGACCGAGTAATAAAAGATAAACTCAATTCTATATCAACCAATATAGAGATAATAATAAAAGACCTTTTGTTATAAAAATAAGCTTGAAAAGTGAATAAGATAAACTAGTGTCAAGTGAACCTCTTGATAGTACTCTGAAATGGTTACCAACTTATTCACGCAAGAACCCTCTATAACTCGTATAACTCTTTATTTCTTAAAAGAATCTTTATGTCAAAACCTTTCATTGCAACAACACCAACAACACGTTGTTGATGCTAAAGCCTCTATCCAAGAAATAAAGGATTTCAATTTGGAAAATACCAACAATACCGATATGTGTGACTAACCTCATCATATACCTAACAATAGACATCATGGCCACAACTATATCCTCTCCTTTATCCTTAAACACAAGTAATAGTAACATCAACCCCCTCTAGAACATGGCCATTTCCATATTAAGTAGAGATGGATGTGTAACAAGAAGTGGAAGAGATAATATTTTATAATGTTGTGTTAGTCAAAGAATATTGTCAATGTGGTTGGAGCAAATGTATGCTCAAGTCTTGCAAAATTTTAATAAAGTGCTAACCATAACATTCCCAACTTAATATGTTTTGACATATTTAACTCCACACGAAGCAAAAGGCTTTAGAAATGGATGTTAAATTATATCACTAATTTAGATGGCTTTTGTCGAGGATGATACAATTGTTGGAAAATATCATTATAATTGTCAACATGTTCAAATGCTCACTTAAAGATATCTAAGAGAATAGTTCAATTCACATGAGTGGCTACATTAAAACTATTATACTATTACAATGCTGTACCTTGGAGATATGTGGGAAACTCATGCAAACATCAAATATCATCCCAAAAATGATAGGTAACAATCACTATAAAGTGATTGAATTAATGGTGCATATCATCCCCAAGATTCCCACAAAAGAATTGTAACTGGATATGAGAATTAGTAGTAAGAGCAAGAGAGATTATACACATATTGTAAATGTTACAATCAATTGAGTTTAATTATTAAATTACAATGTATAACATTAAGCAATTGCACCAATTGTTGTTCTAGAGTCAAAACTACTTTGCCATGTAAAAAATAAAAAAGAAATAAAAAAGAAGAAATTGAAAAAACTACAAGAAAAGTAAGATTTAGACAATACAAAAACTAGATCTAAATTAAAATCCAGAATCCAAACACTCTTCATGGACCAAAATTGCCTCTCATCTTCACCAATGTGAGTGCATAGAACATAGAAATGAAATATAGAAATGTGTATATAAATTAGCTTAAAAACCTTAACTTATATACAAGAATGAGTGGTCCAGATCAAAATTAATTCGATGGCTATCAAAATCCAACTATGCTAATATTAATATATGGCATCGTAGCTGTACATTTAAACCTCACATAGAGTAAAGAATATATTAAAATTTTATGAAATGAAGATTGATTATCTATGGATTTTTTTCACATTATTTTGTGATTCATAAAGGTTTATTTTTTGCATTTCAACCCTGGTCATTATTTGTGTTAATGCTACAAAACTTTTCTTAAATATTTTTTTCTCTACTGTAATTTATAAATTATTGTTTTTCTAATTTTATACAAGAGGACAAGATAATTTTTATGAGATAAAAGTTTCTAGTATTTACAAGTGTTATTTATTTCATATGAAAAATTTATTTGAAGTTTATCAAGAAAATATGAAAATTTTTCTTTGTTATATCATGTCTAATTTAAAACTAACCAAAAAATTAGCATTATTGTCCTTATCACATTGCAATTGATCTAACTAACTTATCAGCATTTAAGCTCCAGAAATTACTATATATAACTCTTATTAATTTATGTAAAATTAGTAGAATAATTTGCTGATGAGGGTGGAAACTGGAGTGTGGGGCTGTGAAAGAAATACAAATATTTTATTCAGTTAGTTTAGAAAACAGTTGGCCCTCACCTGTTAAATTAGTTAAACTGTCTATGGCCATTTGATTGAAAAATGTGCACGCCTATTAATTACAAGAATGGTCTCACTAAACTTGCACCCATTCGGCAATAATAGGATGGCACAAGTCCTTAACCTCTTTTTTACGAGTTAGAAAGCTTAAGTTATATTGATCACATGAAGAGTTTCCCAATGCTATGAAAAATTGCCAGCTTAGTAATTAAATCGAATTAATGCAAAGGAAAAGCATATTACTTTCAGCTGGTTCCTTGAGCAATTATTTTGTGTACCAGCGTTTGGCTACCTTTTTCATAGCTCATGAAAACTAGGTTAATTCTTTGTCACTTTTCTAGAATGAGTGATCTCACGAAAAGAAGGAAGAACAACGAGAAATAACGTTGGGAGGATCTCAACTTATGCCACGAATCTGATCGAGGTAAAAGCTTCAGTTTTTTTTGGTTTTAGCTTAACTATTTGGTTGCCATCCAAGATGCCAGGCGAATTTCTAAAGGCTTTATGTGCAGTCCAACCACCTTCTGCTTGATGGAGAAAGATTATGAAAGAACGAAGATCAAATAACTACAAACAATAGCCCAAGAAAAATCAATTGCACGCTCTAAAGAAGTAGAGCACGGTACCTTAATCTTACTCTTGAGCTATGTTCCTAGGGCAGGAGTGAGATGAACTCCCAGCTGATGTTGTTCGGGGCCACCAGCTGTTTTTCAGAGAGAAGTAGACACAGTGGCCCCTAAAATCGATTCGTTGCCACATATCAAATGCGAGATTAGAATCCAGACAAGTAGGAGAGATAGAAGAGAAACCAAAACCCGTGCTCAAGAGAAAGATAAGAGGGAAAAGTAAAAACGGTCGCTTGAGAGAGTCCGGCCGCGATTTTCCTGCAAAGAAGAGAAAAAGAAAAACAAGGACTTGTTACAAGGCTCACGCCTTGTACAGCTTCATTCCCACCTCCATTCTCGCGAGCTGCGACCTTCTTCTCCTGTGCAACCTTTGATCATGCTCTCGCCGATGCGACCAAGGCCACTCCAAACCCGAAACCCAGAGCATCAGCAATGCGTTCCTGCCTCCACCCAGAGCACTGCGAGATCCAAAGAACTTCCCAGTGCCGCAGCCATACTTCCACGGCACCATTTTCAAGCGACCTATTTTTTGATTTTGAAAAAGAAAAAAAAAAAAAAATTGCAAAACTTAGTGGGTCGGAGTATGACTTATACTTCGAGACACACAGACGGGTCATCAGACGCATACTCTACAACCCAATAAGTAACTGTTATCATAATTCAGGGCTTTTTAAAGAGAAGAATCACAACTGCGTTTGGGCATGTGGGATGTTTGTACTTTGCCCTAGACCTTGCGTTTAGGGCAGACTACGGCAAGTTATAATGATGATTAAAGTTATGGGAAATCATTTGGACTGTTCCGCAAAGATTTAAGGGTTAGGGTTCTTGCAAGCAGATAGAATAGACATTTAGATAGATCAAAGTTTTACTTCGACGTCAACGCCAGCCGGGATGTCCAGTTGCATGAGCGCATCGATTGTTCGTGGGTTTGGATTCTTGATATCGATCAGTCTCTTGTGGGTTTTGATCTGGAAGTGTTCTCGCGAATCCTTGTCGACGTGAGGCGATCGAAGCACGCAAAAGATCTTTCGCTCCGTGGGGAGTGGCACCGGACCCATGACCCCAGCTCCGGTGTTCTTGACGGCCTCCACGATCATCTTGGCAGCCTCCTCGATGTATTCCCCAAAGTAGGCCCGGAGCTTCACTCTAATCTTTTGCTGTGGCAGTGCCTGAAAAGACAAAAGAGAGATCAATCGTGAGCTTTGTCAGAGAGATTGGGGTCCGATCATTCTCTATCGGATGACCATCGTGAGAAGAAAACCAAGACATCTCATCACCCAAGCTCAACTCTGGAAAGAAATTTCACCGATTTCACTCACCAGTGTTGCAGGCGCGGCTGCTTCTTCCGCGACTGGCGTTGCGATTGAAGGCTCTGCGTCAATGCTGCTCTCCTCAACTGGCTCTTCTACGGCCGATGTCGCGCGCGCTGGAAATCTCGATCGAGAAAGCTTCGTTGTGATCTAAAATCCAATTCCAAGAACCTTGAGAGCCCGCGTTCTCTCGCGAGAGATAGAGATTTACCTGCATTTGAGGTAACAGCCGCGGGCGCATCGATGCCGCCAGACACCGTGACGAGAGAGCGCCATTATCGACGCACATTCTCATCGGCAGCGTAGAACAAGACGCTGCCATAGCCATCGTCTTGTATAAACCCTAAAATCTCTCTCATATCCGCAAAGAGTATATTCCCCTTTCGGGGTTTTAGGGTATTCACAGAGCAGTGATGGCGCTTGCTCAGTCCGGCGCCAAGAAGGACGACGATCGGGAAGATGATGGTAAGATCTAGTGCCTGAGCTCGTAGATCTTGCGCTGCCGGTTGATTTAGGTCTTGTAGTCCTGCCAGATCTGTGGATCTGAATTCTCGAGTGTGATTTTTTATTTGCAGCGGAGTACTCTCCTTTCTATGGAATCGAGAAGGCGTCGGTTCTCCAGGAAGCTCGTGTCTTCAATGATCCTCAGCTCGACACGAGGAGATGTGCGCAGGTGACTCTCCATCGTCTATTTTTCCAATGTTGCTTAAGAAGTTCTCTTTGAAGGTCATCACAAAGCTTCTCTACTTGCTCAATCAAGGGGAAACGTTCACAAAGGTGATCTATCCAGTGGTTTTCTTCTGTTCCTTTAATCCTTTGCTTGTTCTTACAGACGGAAGCGACCGAGGTTTTCTTCGCGGTCACTAAGCTCTTCCAGTCGAAAGACGTTCCTTTGAGGCGAATGGTTTATTTGATGATCAAGGAAGTCACTCCATCGTCCGACGAGGTAAGCTCGTGGAAACGCCTTTGGAAAGGTTTTTTAAGACATAGCTTTGCTGACAGGTTATCATAGTCACAAGCTCGCTGATGAAGGACATGAGCTCTAAGACGGATCTCTACCGAGCAAATGCAATAAGGGTGCTTTGTAGGATTACAGATGGTGCTCTCCTGGGTCAGATCGAGAGATACCTCAAGCAGGCCGTGGTTGATAAGAATCCGGTTGTTGCTAGTGCTGCTATTGTCAGTGGCATTCATCTTCTACAGGTGTGGCTGCATTCTTCCCAGGTTCATTTGGATTTAAGTTTTCTTTCAGACGAATCCGGAGATCGTAAGAAGATGGAGCAACGAAGTGCAAGAGGCCGTTCAGTCCAAGAACCCTCTAGTCCAGTTCCATGCTTTGGCACTTCTGCGCCAGGTAATTACTATATTTGTTTCTGGTAATGGAAATTCTGGATCTTTATGCAGATTAAACAAAACGATCGTCTTGCTGTTAGTAAACTCGTGACTAGCCTGATTCGTGGGACGGTTCGCTCTCCTCTCGCACAATGCCTTCTTGTGCGCTACACGAGCCAGGTATTTAAATCAAAATTATAGCCGTCGGTTGTATACTGAATTAGTGATGGTCTGTAGGTGATCAAGGATTCGGCTGGAAATGCTCCCGGTGGAGATCGACCCTACTATGAATACTTGGAGACCTGTTTGCGTCATAAATCAGAAATGACACAATATGAAGCTGCGAGAATCATAACCAATTCGAGTACAGTCACCGGTCGGGAGTTGATGCCAGCCATCACGATGCTGCAAATGCTGTTAACGTCGTCGAAGCCTGTCCATCGCTTTGCTGCCGCAAGAACATTGAACAAAGTAAGTGGCATCAACAAGTCGAATTTTTGTTTGATGATCCTTTGGTTCTTTTTTCCAAACAGGTGGCCATGAGCCATCCCCTTGCAGTCACCAACTGCAATATCGACATGGAAAGCTTGATCAATGATCAAAACCGCAGCATCGCAACACTGGCCATTACGACGCTGTTGAAAACGGGAAATGAAGGTGGCGTTGATCGTTTGATGAAGCAAATTACGAGCTTTATGTCCGACATCGCGGACGAGTTCAAAATCGTTGTTGTGGAAGCAATTCGGTCGCTTTGCCTAAAGTTTCCACAAAAATATCGGTCTTTGTAAGTGTCCTTTCCCTTTCGCTCATTTGCTGATACCGTAACTTTCCAGGATGAACTTCCTTAGCGGCATTCTTAGAGAAGAGGGAGGATTCGACTATAAAAAGGCAATCGTTGACTCGATCCTAATTCTGATCAACGAAATTCCAGACGCCAAAGAAAGCGGGCTCGTGCATCTTTGTGAGTTTATTGAAGACTGCGAGTTTACGTACCTTTCTACACAGGTTGTGCCCATTGCTATCTTGAAACAGGATGTCTTTTATCAAGATTGTTTTTCAGATATTGCATCTTCTTGGGGAAGAGGGACCAAAGACCTCCGATGCTAGCAAGTACATTCGCTACATCTACAATCGTGTAATATTGGAAAATGCTACTGTTCGAGCAAGCGCCGTCAGCTCGTTAGCGAAATTTGGACTTGCGGTTGACTCTCTTCGGGTAAGTGGTTGTGCAAAGTTTCTTTAGATGCTTACGCGTGTTCGCTGCAGCCGCGAATCGTCATATTGCTCAGGCGCTGCGTATATGATAACGATGATGAGGTAACAATTCAACATTGTTTGGTTCAAAATAAACAAGGGTTGAGATTCAGGTGCGTGACCGTGCAACTATGTACTTGACTGCACTTGAAGGGGACCAAGCCGAAAGAGAAGAAGCGAAGCATTCTCTTTTTGATCCACTAAAGATACCTCTAGCCAACTTGGAAGCGAGTCTGCAGTCTTATGTAAGCAACACAGTGTCCAGTTTGTACCATCAATAACATTTTTACGCAGGATCCAAGCGAATCGCCATTCGACATACACTCAGTGTCAGTGGATGTTAAAGCACAGCCAGTCGTGGACAATAAGATGAAGAAAACTGGAAGAGACTCTGCTCCTTCCGTTCCTGAAACCAACAGCGCGGTTGTTGCTCCAACAGTTTCTCATGAAAAAAGATTGAGCTCCATCCCGGGATTTTCTGGTTTTGGAAAACTTCTCACGGTAATTTTTCTTTCTGGACTTTGTTATTGTATATGGTCATTAATTATATACGTTGTTCTTGCAGTCGTCGCAACCTACTGAGCTAACTGAGCCGGAGACTGAGTATTCTGTGAATGCTGTAAAACACATATACGCCGAGCATGTTGTGTTTGAATTCAATTGCACGAACACAGTAGCGGAACAAGTTCTAGAAAAGGTGAGAAACTGCGACAATCAATTAACAAGTTTTTGACGCGCTATTACTGCAGGTTACTGTGGTGGTCGACGGCTCAGAAGCAGAAGATTTCCAGGAGCTTCTTTCTCGCTCAATCCCATCTCTACCATATGGATCGCCCGGCCAAGCCTACGTGGTTTTCCAAAAGCCAGAAGGCGTCTCCACTGGGAAATTTGCAAACACCATGAAGTTCGTCTTGAAAGAGGTAACACTTAACACCTTGTCCCAGTACGAGCGTAACTCCTGTGACTTTCTTTTCAGGTGGATCCAACGACAAACCAGCCAGAGGATGAAGGCTACGACGATGAGTACCAGCTCGAGGATCTCCAGGTAAACCGAGCTTGTGCGTTTGGCGACTCGGTGGAAAACTCTTTCTTTTTTTCTTTCAACACAGGTGACAGCCGCGGACTACTTCGTGAAGACGAGCGTGGTGAGCTTCAAAAGCACCTGGGAGAGCCTCCAGAGCGAGTTCGAGGCCGAGTATGGGCTGGGTCCGCGCGAGAGCGTCCAAGAGGCAGTCCAGGCGGTGATTGGCATCCTCGGAATGCAGCCGTGCGAGGGGAGCGAGGTGGTGGCCGCCAACGCGAGATCTCACGTCTGCTTCCTGGCCGCAAAGTTTCTGGGAGAGATCCAGGTGTTGGTGAAGCTCGCATTTGGAATGGACGCGAAGAAGGCCGTAATGATGAAACTCACGGCGCGCTCCGACGACGAGGGAGTGTGCTCCATCGTTCACGACATTATCGGCAATGCTTGATTTTTTGGTTGATTAATCCATATCCAGAATATTCTTATTCTAGGGTCTTAGAACCCTAAACCTCCAATCATCATATGAGAGATGAGTGGCTACAAATGGGAATTCTGGCTTGTAAATGTACTAAATCATGAGGATCTAGACAAGTATAGACAATGGACTACATCGATAATAAGGGGTTGAGTAGCTATGACATTTAGCTTTGCAAAGATTTGGTTTGCTAATGACTGTTTTCTTTGGATTATTCTGGGTAACATGTCACACAACACTTCAAAAGTGTTGGAGAGATAATGAGGAACAAAATAGAAGGCTAAGAGACAAACTACCATTATAATGACAAAATTGAGAGGTTATCTAGAGGTTTATTTCACCTTTGTACTTACATGGAAAATCTTTTATTTATATTATATTACTATAATTAAGAAATTCTACTTTACTCTTCTGGAAGATGAAAAGCGATGTGATAGAGCTCTCTTATTGAGTGACTATAAACTGCTCTAAAAAATTGAAGTTCCTATAGAATTAATAGCATAGTTGCTAACAATTATGATAGAAATAAAACCCAAAGTCATGATATAACAATTAATTAATTACAAAATATTGATAAACTAATTAAAACTTTGCATATAATTACCAAATGCTCAAACCAACTTTAAATTTATTATTTTGAGATTTTAAAAGTCCACAAAATGACTTTGCAACAAATAATATATTTTATCTCTAAATTTTCTTATTAGCTACAACTATTAATTTAGATTTACAACCATCAATAAAACTTACTTTTGCATTTTCTCTTCAGTCAACTTCTGAAATTTATGTTATCTAACACATATAATATTTGTCCACACATGAAAGGTTAAACTCACTTTATTTATTTTCCACATTTTCCTTGTCCTCTTCTCAAAGTTTTTTTTTTTTAAAGCATTAGCTTAGTTCAAACTTATTGCATTTATCCTCACTTTGCCATATATATTCCATTATCATATTTTTTGGTTTTATTATATTAGGGCTAACATTGGGACCACATTTTATTTAAACTTATTTTCACTTATCTTTTGTTTACACTTATCATCACTCCATCATCAAAACTAAACTTCTATTTATCTCCTTTACCCCCTCCAAAGAAGAAAAAAGTTTTGAAGTATTAGGGTAAAAAGGAGAAAGTAAGAAAAATTGAGAAAACAATATTATAGAAGAAAAAACAGTGAATAAAAAAGCATTGGAAGAGGAATTTTCAGCAATTGTCAAATCAAAAATGGGAAACAAAAAAAAAAAATGTGTTCAAAGTTTAGCGAATAAATGATTTCCTATTATAAAACAATTCAACCATCACAAAATAAACAAGATATTTCACATGTTCAACCTTTTTAATATTAAACTCAACATTTAAGATAGGAAAATCAAAGAAAAACTCCACACTCAAAATACATCTTTAATAACAGCAATAAAACAAATTTTTTTAATGATAATTGCAATTGGGGGAATGCACTTAATTTGAAATTCCAACAAAAGTGATTTAGCTTTTAGAATTAGGGAATACTCAATATTAAAATTGATCAAAGGTTTCATCAATTAAACAAAGGTAAGATTTCCAACTTTATGAACATTTAGATTAGTATGACGATAGAAAACACTCAACTCAACATCATATTGAGAATAACAAGAGTCACAAATGATTAATATATCATATTTATCATTAGCTTCCTCATCATTACAACCTACTTTGTCTTTAGGGCAATTCAACACCTTTACAAAGTTGTTTAGCAATAGCAATTGCAATGTCTTAGGAAAAGAAAATATTGTAAATGAAGAAAGAAAACATTAAGAACATAAGGTGGTTCAAATTGTAATGCACCTTATATCTCTCCCCTTAAGCCAATTAAAAAGGGGGCAATTACTTGATGAGAGAGCCCTTAGTAGCTATTTTATCCCCATTTATCCCCTAAGGTTCCAAGGATCCATAGTGACAGTATATCCAAATTTCATCCTATGATCATATGTGTTACACTCAAGTGGAAAATAAAAAAAAGTTGGGGAATAAGAAAAAGGTAAATAAGGGTTGATATAACCTATGAAATTTTTAACTCATTTTCTAAATTAACTTAAAAGTAATTGAGTTTCTCACCAATAAGAATCCACCCAACCTTACAAATATCATCTTCTAATAAGCTCGATCCTTGAATATTCCCTAAAAATTATATTACATCATCCATAACTCTCTAATCAATGTCATAATCACACTTTATATTAATAAGAAATGGCAAGACACTAAGAATAAGAGAAGCTATATACACATAAACAACATTATTAGGTAATAACAATATAACATCATTTGCACCTTTGGATAACATACTTCTCAATTAAAGCATATGGTATGATGGATGAAGAAAATGAAATAAAAATTGTAAATGAAGAATATATTTAATAATTACTATCCTAGATTTGGATAAAAGATAACACAGATCAGAATAAGAATAAAAGCCAAACATTGAGAAAAGCACTATAAAAAAGTTTTATTCACTTTCAATTGTGGATGTAGGAATAAATATATTAATTAAAGTACCTACTATATATAGGAATGGATGAATTCCAAACAAGAAACCTTGAAACAATTGCAAGGAATATGTTTTTATTAAATTAGTGTATAAGATCATCTAACGATTTATTTAACGATTCTAAAATGACTAACCATTTAGGAATAATAAAGGTGTCCCTTTTGAAAAGGGAGGGTTTCTTTTCTATATTTTGTCTTGTGAGGGAAGAACAAAAAGGAAGAACAGCGCTTGGATCTTTTCATCGCGTGGCGTCGCGCGCGCGAATCCGAGGTACGCTCCATTCCGGGATGGATCTGTGGATCCATTTCCGTGCGCGAATTAGGGCTTTACAATGGATTTTTCGAGCAGGACGCAGCAGCAAGGCGCTAGAAAGTTTTTTGTTGTTTCTCTCCGTGTTTTTCTTTTCGTGCTTGTGTCTTTGAAAGAAATATAGATGGGAGACGGAGATGATGGTCAGTAGAGATAGAAACTTTTTTCTCTTCTATTTGGTACATTCACTGGGCCAGGAATTTCCATGCTTTGATTCACTTTTTTCCAGCTCCAGCGCCTGGTACCAATCCAATTCCATCGGTGATTGCCGCGTCGAGCACGGCTGAGGTCTCGGTGGTGCTGCCATGCTCAATCCAAGACTCCCAAAAGGAATCGCCTTTGGTGGTTCCTTGTGCTATTCCAGCACACCAAGAAGGTACTCATTGCTCGCATCTTTTCCTTGAGAGTGTGAGTAAGTTAAGATCTATCGTTTCCTCTCTTTTTTCTTTTCGAGTGAAGATTTCTTAGTCTCGTTCATCTCAAGGATTCTATAACACTTTTGTTTGTAACTTGCAGCTGTGCAAGACAGAGATTATAAGTTTCTCTCCAAGGCTGTGGACGAAGCTTACAAAGGTGTCACTTGCGGCGATGGTGGTCCTTTTGGAGCTGTGGTCGTCCGAAACAACGAGGTGGTGGTGAGCTGCCACAATATGGTGCTCAGGCACACGGATCCCACCGCTCATGCCGAAGTCACGGCTGTTCGAGAGGTGAGTTTGCTTTATCTTCTTTCTCTTGTTTTCGAGCTAAAGCTTGCCACCGCAAAAAAAAAAAAAAAAAAAAAAAAAAAAAAAAAAACCTTTGCAGGCTTGCAAGAAGCTGAATCGATTGGAGCTGTCCGACTGCGAGATTTTTGCGTCGTGTGAGCCGTGTCCAATGTGCTTTGGAGCGATTCACCTATCACGAATCAAAGTAAGGAGATGTTCCTTTGTTTTTCTTGCTGGCTTTTGCACGTATAGTTCATTGTTTGTTCTTGACAGCGTCTGGTATATGGTGCCAAAGCCGAGGCTGCCATCGCGGTTGGCTTCGACGATTTCATTGCCGACGCAATCAGAGGCACGTCTTACTACCAAAAGGCAAACTTGGAGATTAAAAGAGCCGATGGGAGCGTTGCCGCCATAGCCGAGCAAGTTTTTACCGACACAAAGGAGCTCTTTAAAATGTATTGAATCGACGCTCGTAAAAATTCAATCGATTGCTTTTACCAGTTTACTAAATCTTGTGTAAGTCTAGGAAAAAAACAAACGCAGGCATTCAAACCACCACTGTAACAAACCAAACAAGAGTGGTCCTTTTTTTTTTCATCTTGCTTCTCTCTTTTCACTTATAGCGGCTTAAAACAGTGAAACGCTCGCGAACTTTAAAGTCACCACTTCCATGGCCATCGCTACCGTTGCTTGCCACTACAAATGCGCTTCGCGGGATGGAGACGAGCGTAACCTTTTTCCCGCAGAGAATGAGGCCTGTCGCAATGCTGCTGGCTATCGTCTTCTTCATCGTGTCTTTCACGAGCTATGTCTCTGCGATGACCGCCACTGGCACTGCCTTTTCTTCGTCGTCGTCGCTGAATCAGATCGTTGTTGGTCGAGTTTTCTGCGATCGATGCGTGGAGGGACGCTTCTCCAGGCATGCGGCGTTCGTCAAAGGTAAGTCGATAAGTTCTTCCACTCGAAAACTTCGATGTTCTTAGCTGACGAGAACACTTACGCTTTCCAGGTGCCAAAGTTGCGCTCGAGTGCACGGGAGACGATGGAGGAATTCACGTTGCCGGGGGCGAGACGGACATGGCTGGCTCGTTTCTGATCCCCTTCGACACCTCCAAGATCAACACCCACTCCTGCTCGGTCAAGCTTGTAAACACACCGCTCTCCGAGTGTAATCTCGTCTCCAAGCCGGCTCAAGTTCTCACACCCGACATGAAGCTCAAGAAAAACGTCGTCTACGCCGGACTGCTGAGCTTCCGGCCGGAAGAACCACTCCCAGCCTGTTCTTCACGGAAGAGTGACGCCTACTACGGCACTCCGCCAGCGTACTCGTCCCCAGCGCCTGTGACCCGTGCCGCTCCTCCACCGCCAGCGTTCTCTTCTCCAGCTCCGATAGTCCGAGCTTCACCACCTCCACTCTACTCGAGCCCGGTTCCATACTCTTCTCCAGCTCCGATGGTCCGATCTTCGCCACCTCCGCTGTACTCGAGCCCGGTTCCATACTCTTCTCCAGCTCCGATCGTTCCAGCCTCTCCGCCACCATATTCGTCTCCAGCTCCAATTGTTCCAGCCTCTCCACCGCCTTATTCCTCTCCAGCTCCGATCGTTCGCTCGTCCCCTCCACCACTGTATTCTTCTCCAGCTCCAGTTGTTCGCCCATCACCTCCACCATATTCGTCTCCAGCTCCGATCGTTCGCTCGTCACCTCCACCATACTCCTCTCCAGCTCCGGTCGTTCGCTCCTCACCTCCACCACTGTATCAGCCTCCTCCACTTTACTCCAGCCCGGCTCCGATCATCCGCTCAGCACCACCAGTTCCAGTGTCTTGCGCTCCTCCAATCTACTCTAGTCCGGCTCCAGTAGTTCGTTCATCGCCGCCACCAGCGTACTCCTCTCCTTCACCGCCACCATACTCTTCTCCAGCTCCGATCGTTCGTTCTTCTCCACCTCCATTGTACTCTTCTCCAGCTCCCTCACCACCGCCACTCTACTCTTCCCCATCTCCAATCTCTCGATCCTCCCCTCCTCCACTGTACTCTTCCCCAGCTCCAATCTCTTCACCTCCTCCATATTCTTCTCCAGCTCCAATCACTCGATCCTCACCGCCTCCACTCTACTCTTCCCCAGCTCCAATCACTCGATCCTCGCCTCCTCCGCTCTACTCTTCCCCAGCACCGATCACTCGATCCTCACCTCCGCCATTGTACTCGCCGCCAGCTCCGATCGCACCCCCGCCAGTCTTCTCGTCGCCAGCTCCAATCGTTCGATCGTCTCCTCCTCCTGGCTACGCCCCACCCTACTAGTCACGAAGAGAAATATTTAGGGTTCTAGCCTCTAGATTTTGTTCTTTCTTCTTCACGGAATAGAATTTGCCCTATGGCGCTTCTCTGGCGCAGCGCTGGATCGCCAAATGCGAAGGCTCTTGTTCTTTGTTGCTCCTGCGTTGTCGGGATCGTCGCTGTAGTCGCGGTTGCGAGAAGGGTCCGGCGGCGCGTCGCAGAAGACGGTAAGAATCGAACGATTTTTTCATGATCTAGGGAAGAAACTTAGCTCTTACAGACAATGAAGACGAGGAAATCAAGCCGCAGAAGAGATTCAAGAGAATCCTGGCTGATAACACTCCATTGCCATTCGTTCACTTGGAAATTCCAGGCAAAGGTTAGCTCGATCGAGGTTCTTTTTTTTACTCGTTCTGGATTTCCAGGGGAGGATTCGCATCCTTATGGCGATGAGATCAGAGCTCTGCTAGAGGATCCAGTCCTTCCATTGTCTGAAACCGAGCAGCCATTGGCTGAGATGGAAGAACCATTCGTTTGGATCGAAACGAAGGAAGCGTTGGAGGATTTGGCAGAGGTTTTGTCCGAGGAAAGTGAGTTTGCTGTGGACACTGAACAGCACAGCATTCGATCGTTCCTTGGATTCACGGCTCTCATCCAGATATCAACGTACAAACGCGACTATTTGATAGATGCAATCGCACTGCATGACGAGATGGAGATCTTAAGGCCTGTCTTTGCGAATGCTGCTATTTGTAAGGTCCATACTCGAGCGCTATGGGGTAAAAACTTACACTAACACTTTGCCTTGTGTATAACAGGTGTTTCATGGTGCTGACAGCGACATACTCTGGCTACAACGGGATTTTCACATCTACGTTGTTAATCTCTTCGACACAGCTCGCGTAACTATTTTTTTTCTCTCTCAATGTAACCTTTTATGTGTCTGATGGATGGAATGCAGGCTTGCGATGTTTTAGGAAAGCCTCAAAGGTCCCTGGCTTATCTCTTGCAAACTTACTGCAACATATCGACAAATAAAGCTTTCCAGGTACGTAAAATACTGGCAGACATTAACTGGACTAATTATTTTGGTAGTAGAAGTCAGATTGGCGTCAACGTCCTTTACCTGAAGATATATTACTGTATGCTCGCACTGATGCGCATTTCTTGCTGTACATAGCTAGGAAGCTATATTCCGAGCTTCTCCAAGGAGAAACCGACCTTGCGAACGCCCCGCTGCAAATGGCAACGCGAAGGTCACACTTGATTTGCTTGCAACTTTACGAGAAGGATGCTTCATCAGCGTCGGCAGCTGCGTCTTTATTTTCGAAGTTTCAGGAATCCAATCTGGATAAGCCTCGGGTGAATCTAAGCATTTCCAGAAATGCTCTTGTATAGATACTAATGGTGAAGTTTTTGCAGGAGGCATCGATGCGTAGGCGACTCAGGTTGCTGTGTGAGTGGCGAGATGCTGTGGTACGTCCTTACTTGGCATCTGTTCATGTTCTCGTTTTGATCATCGCCTTGTTGTTTCGCAGGCAAGGATTGAAGATGAGAGCCTGCGTTTTGTATTATCAGACGCGGCTATCGTAGCTATTGCAAGAACGCTTCCTCGAACTGAAAAAGAGGTTTATCGGTCGATTCATGCAGCTGACATGGCGACGTCAACCGACTCGAGTAAAACAAGCTTGTTACCGTTGCCATCTCCCCTAGTCAAAAGGCATATCAGCTCATTGATCCTCGCAATCAAAGATTCAGCCGCTAACGCCACCTCCGGTGAGCAGCGGGATGACAAGAAAGGGAGGAGATTCTTATTCAACAAGAGAAGCAACTCCGAACTCAAACGCACGCAGTTTGTAAAGAAATTTTCTTGCAAGGGCCTGGTGTACGAAAACTGCCGAATTTATGCTGGAGATGGCCGTCTTCTGTGTTATTGCGACCGGAGAAAACTCGAATGGTTTGTGGCCTGATCCCTGAACTCTCTCGACAGTCGTTTCTATTTACGATGACAGTGCGTTATATCTTTTGGGTGCAGGTACTTACAGCGTGGTCTTGCAGAACGCTTAAATGAAGAACCGCCAGCTATACGTCTTTGTTTCGAGCCAAAAGGACGTCCAGAAGACGAGAACAACGAGTTTTACATTCAGAGCAAGTCCAACCAGTGCGTCGGGTGTGGAGAGAGTAGCCATTACCTGCGTTACAGGATCATCCCTTCCTGCTATAGACAACACTTTCCAGAGTATTTGAAGAGCCACAGGTCTCACGACATAGTGCTCTTGTGCGTGGATTGCCACGAGAAAGCGCACCGTGCGGCCGAGAAGTACAAGCACGTTATTGCACTTGAGTCCGGGATACCATTGTTCGCGAGAAAGATTATTGCTGCCGAAGACGTAGAAGGCTCTGGATACTCAGTCATTGAGAGCGAGACGGGAGTTCCACCACTGCAGCTGCGCAACGCAGCAATGGCACTACTGTGTCACGGGCCAGACATGCCAGAAAGCAGACGAGCAGAGCTGGAGATGGTATGTTTTCCATTGTCTTTTCTGTTTCGATAGCTGGCCCCGAGCGTCCTTTTTTTTGTTTCTTTGCAGGTTATAAGTGGCTACTTTGGTGGTCGTCAAATAGACGAAGCAGACATGAAAGCTGCAGCGCTTGTAGGCATTGACCCGAGGGGAAAGAAGCGGCTAACTAGGAAAATCGACAAGCTACTACGGAAGAAGCAGGCGCACAACAGTAACGCCGCGGTTGAGTCACCGGTGGTAGAAAACGGAGAGCCAGGCAAGAACCCGAAAAAAACGCACAAGATATCGCTTCTCGGTCATGGGTTACACGGGAAGAAAAGTTGTGGAGAAGATATGGGAAGGGCAAGGCGAGGACGGCATCAGAGATTTTATACAGAGGTGGCGTATGGTGTTCGTGGATGCGGTTCATCCGGGTTATTTGCCTACGGGATGGGAGGTCACGCACAGGTAGATTTCTTCCTCTCTTTAATTCCTTTTGGTGGCGGCGCTGGCTAAAGACAAAGGATACTAACTTCGCTGCTCGCAATTACAATGCAGTGGACGTCGTGAATTCGGAGAGCACAGTGTCTACCGGCCGAAATGGCTAACGCGCACCTGAGAGAGAGTCATCGTCGGTGGTGTCGTCGTCTTCTTGTCTGACAACTTAAACGCCTACCTCGCTCGCTCGCTGCTCGTTGGTTCGTGCAAGTAAGTAGCGGCCAGCAGCTACTTGATTTCGATCCGCCCTTTTTTCTTTTCTCTCTCTTTACTTGACTTTTTGTGTTCTTTATTTCTCAGGCTGCTCGTTCGTACTACTTTTGAGCATTTCGGGAAAATCGCGGTGGTGTTCACGCACGCACTGGTAGAGTGAGTGGTGGAGTGGTGTGCCAACAAGTTGAAGTTAAGAGGAGAGCAACAGAGGGCACGCTCGCTCCCATCCATTCCAGGTTCATCATTTTTTTTCATTTGGAGTTGTTTGGCAAGTTCAAGGGGCCAGCCAGCCAGGCACCACTGACTGACTCACACCTATACGAGTCGGGGTTGCAGCTTGCAGCAGCAGGGAGCATTATATATTTTCTCGCACCAGTGGCTGACAACTTACAAGCGTTGGAGGCAAGCAATGGCCATGGCACACCGTACTGAGCGAGCGCCTGCGCAAGCTTCGCCCAAAGAAAATGCCAAAGTCGGGAAAAACTACTCTGGTACTGTACCGATGCATCTGGCCCTGCATCTTCATCCCAAAGTTTTTACGGAGATTCTAATCTATACACGCTTTTGCTCTTCTTTCTGCGGCAGGCTGCTGCCCCAGAGACGTGAAGAAGAGATAAAAAGAGCCAGTCACTAAATCGCTCTGGCGGTGATGGCTGGTTGTCTCGCCTTTCTCTATTTTCCCGTGACTTGCGCGGGGATGATCCGACAAATCTCAGCTCGCTCGATCGATTTCACTCGAAGCTCAAGGTGGTTTCTCTCGGTTGAGTTTTGCTGACTGAGTTTGAAGTTTCGTGTGCTAGAAAACTCGCGGAAGAAAAGAATGCTGTGCGGCCGCTGACCACTGACACACACATTCATCAATGTTGAAGATTTGGAGGAGATATTGAATGGCATGCATCATGTGTCATGCGCGGTGGCCATGATGGGTATCATCCATCCGGGAAAAACGAAAAGAATGTAAGCGCGACCCAGCGAAAGATTCGAACCATCGACGCGTTCCTCGGACTGAATCGCGGAAGAATGAATTTCCGTGGGGTTTTTATGGTTCCGTACGCATACGCATGCGATACGATTGTCGCTAAATACGGGGACAAATGCGTATTTTTTAAGTATTTCTTTGGTATGTTCCCTTGTTGCCAAATGTTTGGTGCCTGTCTAGCGGTTTTTGTTGTTGGAAGCGGATCAGTGACAGGAAAAGTCTCTTAAAAAACTAGTTTTTTTTTTCCAGTAATATTGGAAGCAAAAAAAAAAAAAAAAGAAAGAAAAATTTCTGGACTGTGGATTTTGATAGTACACTGCCAACTTCATTTGCTCCATTAACTTCCCAAAAACACACCTCACAACTCATGTGTTGTTTCTTCTCCTTGGTCTTGTCTGAGAGCAGCTTTGTCTTTGTCAAACCAATGCATGAGCTTTCCTTTTGGGCACATCTTTCCTTGATTCTTTTATGCTCCCCAGTGCCAGTGGAGGAGATTTGATCAGTGCCAGTGGAGGAGATTTGATTGATCCCAATTCCAAAGAGAGAACAAGCA